CGACACAACTCGTACAGGGGCAGAGTCTAGACAGGTCTTTCTTCTGTGATAGGGGGTCCCATAAATAATTTGCTATAGCCAAAAGCATTTCCAGACTGTAAAGTCGCTTTTTTTATCATGATACATAGGCCTACTGTGATTTATTCCAAAGTGACTTATATGATGCATTTAACGTCAAATAATCTAAATGAAGCCTTTTAAACGACTAGTATTCCCTGTGGTTCATGTTTGTGGCATGCACCAGAAGACCGAGACACGCTAAAGCAGCGCATTCTGTTGTTCTCTTTATTTTTCAAAGGCATGACATTTTGTAGTTATTTTGAACATAACGTTACACAATTAAAAATATACATTTTACCATACGACTATAAATGACAGAGCTGGTCTGCGCTTGACTGTAGTCGCGTCTGTCTGCTTATTGAGTTTATTTAACCCATCACAATTTATTGAAACTGTGTGAACTAGAGTGAATATTCATCTTAATGTTGTTCTAAATCTACTTTCAATATTAAATCAAAAAACGAATGATCGAATGATACACGGATTCCCACCCCACCCTTGGACAGTTCAATTAAACCACTACACAAGATTTTGAAAAGTTGTTGAAGTACCGAAAATTCAGTCACAACTTTAACTGGCAGAGAATTACAACGTTAAAACTGATTATAAAAGAAATGTGTATTTTTTTTGTATTATGCAGTTGTGGATAGGGAATGATAAGGCATCATTTATTTGCACTTGAATGTAACAATACCTTTAAATATGCAGTTTTATTATTAAAAAGGGTATCTGTTTTCATACTAATCACAATTGTGACCAGACATATTCACATTCTTGTAATCATTGCTCTCTCTCAAATAACTAATTATCACAATCTTAATAATACATTAATAATAGACCATTTCAATTGTTATATGCACCAAGTATCTATATTTTGACATATTTTTGACATAGACCTCATCTTTGAGATGGGCAAACTAGAATAAAAAAGCTCTGGCCATGTGACTTTAAATCAGCCATGCAAAAAATTTAATTCTGAACATATTCAAGACTGTAATTTGACTGCCTTCAAACTTATAAAAGTACATGTTGGTGACAAAGTTATTGGTAAGAATTAATGACAATAAATGAATAAAGCATTCATGCTCTGATGTGTTACATCAGCTAAAAATATCTAGGGTGTGGCCCAGACACCTCTACAGACATGCACACACACCACCATCACTCATTCAACAATACTCAAAACAAGAGGATGATTTATTTAATTTAATTTAGACATATACATTTACACATGAGGACAGCGAAAGCATTTCTTAAACATTCTCAATTCGTACATACATGTAAAAAATTAGATATAAATCCAAATGCATACTGTCTGTAATACTGTAGACAAGGGGGTTCAAAAGTTAGCTCAGAAAAGAGAAAAATAAGAATAAAAGGATACAAAAAATATGTATATCTGTATAAATATATGTTCAATAGTAACAGTATTATATAATACAGTTAAAAGATTACAAACGTCAAAAAGTCCCAAACCATTCATCCATTAAAATACAAAAACATACACTACAGGAAAAAGTCCCATCATCACACAGTTCTAAATAGTCAAAGATTGTCAGTCAACATTTTCAAAAGTAAAACACAGAATCCATCCTAAGCACAACACATGCATTACATTCAAAACCTAAACCTGACTCCGTGAGAGATTCATAGAAAGCACATGCTTTTTCACTGAGTGGTCCATTCTTTGCGAATATGGGGTAGCAAAACATCTGCCAGACTTGCTTTCACACTTCATGGAGCTCAATCAAGTTGTTTGATTGGACCAAAGGCATGATACCAATTTGAGTTGGTATACACATTTGCATTATTTGTTAAGGGTTCACTTAACTTTTAGGAGTGATCGTTCTGATACAATATCTAAAATATAAATTGATCATCATCGACTTTTTTTTTTTAAAAGCTCTTCCAGTCAGCGGTTGTACAGGTTGTTTGACAATATTGACTGCAAGCATGTAATCACATGATTGTCAGTCAGCTTGAGATAATAATTCATAAAAAGAACATTTTGTGCAGTGACACATTATCACTACAAATGATTAGATCTCAGAAAGACAATATTAAATGGACTTATCGCATTAATTCAAAACGATCCTTATCACTGATCAAATGCATACAATGCGTTTCCATATTCATCCTGCTATGACATCCATATACATCTCCTTCAGAGTCTCAATGACACTCATTCATTCTTGCTTATTTTTTGTCTTTCTCAAGCTATCCCACCAAAAAACAGCCTCTCTCTTCCACTCAGGACCGGCCTGAGAGCAAGAAGTGAAGGCCTTTTCCAGCTTCCTGAAATACTGATCAGCACGTGGTACACACACCCACACAGTTCGTCTTAAACCAGATCAATCACACTGACAATCAAAACCACACTTTATACAAAAAGACAGAGAAAGTATAAATGAAAGTATGATGATAATGATACTTTATAGTGTGATATTAATAACAATAAGCAGCATTGGGTCATATAACTACACTGAAAATATATAAATCAATATAATATAAACTTTTAGATAGCATAATTCAGTTTTAAAGTTATAAAGGCTATTTGATGTATTTAGAAAACTATATAATGTATTTTCTGTATTGCACATAGTCATACCATCAGATACATTTGTCTTTCCTTTTGCCACTTTTTCACCATTTCTTAAAGGTTTCTGCTTCAGAGTATTCTTTACATTTCAGTCATAGACTGTCTTGTTATAATACTGTGCTGTGTGATCACATTAAAATGGTGCAGCAGCCTCGATGACAAAACATTTTTGCACTTGTTTTAATATATCTGCTTCAAAGTTCACTGATGGTGACAGACAAGATAATTTCCAGTGGATCTGGATGAGAATGAACACACACACACACACACAACAAAAACCACCCGTCTGACTTTTAAGATCTTCTTATGAAACTAAATGCAATCAAGATATTCTGGGAAACAGGAAGAGGATAAAGCAGACAGAGTTATACAATGAGTTATACAACATTCTGCATAACAAATAAAGGAAATAGCTGGAGACCCAGCTCTTGTAATTTGGTTCAGTTAAACTTCAGTTGAAAACCATTATGTTGCAGATTTGTTCTGGGTGGCCTGTTGCATGTCTGCAGCACACCTCTAAAAACAATGTGTGATGCACAGATACACTTAAAGCAGCAGATGAATGTAACGCAATTATTGGGAACAGGTTTAGTAAGCCTTTAAACAAACGAAATCAAGCCAGGTAAGATAAATATTTGTTATCAATTGAATAAAACAATACTTCGGCAACTAAATGAACACACTTACGCAAAATTAAAATGTCAATATTGCAATGTTTTGTGTGGTATTTAGTTTGAATGAATGTTACCATGCATATTACTGGCAAGCAAAGAAACGCATGTTTACGCCTTTCTAATTTTCTCTTAAGAGTCTTAATTGTCCATATTTTTTGTGATATTATTACCACACATTATGTATGACCTCAGAATTTACCTCTCAAGTAATGGGTTGTTTAAACATTTAAAAGATGTTTATATGAAACCTTTAACAATAATGGGAGTTTTAAGATCCCATGTACTTGAAGTGCTGGGTGTACGTAAAACATTTTGTCTCAATATTGTGTCATGTCTGACAGCACCTTTTGACCTAATAAGGCATGAAACATAATATGAAAGACAACTGTATAATATTTACAAAAAGGCTGTGATTAGTGTATTAACTGCAAAATACTGGATGATCTTTTAGACAGACTTTGCATGAACAAGTAAACTAATACTGTCAGTTCATAATGTAGAAGTTTAAATCTTTAAAAGAAGCCGCATGACTGTTTACAGTGTCACTTTGAACCACTTGGTGGCGCCACAAAATCTTCTAAAACATATTTTTTGTTTTAGACCAGGAGTGTGAAACTCATTTCCTGGAGGGCCGAAACCCTTTAGAGTTTAGATTCAACTCTAATTAAACGCACCTGATAAAACTAATCAAGTCCTTCAGGCTTATTTGAAAACTACAAGGTATGTGTGTTGGAGCAGGGTTGGAACAAAACTCTGCAGGGTTCTGGCCCTCCAGGAATTGAGTTCAACACCCGTTTTAGACAAAATTAAGTGAAAATGACTGGGATCGTATGATAGGAAATCTGCAAATCTGGTTTCCATACTTCAGAAAGTACAGCTCTGAGAGCATGTTTCTGAATTTTACTATAAAAGTAAGTTTGGTTTTATAAAAATTAAATAAAAGAAAAAGCAAACCTCCACAGTTGTGACTGACAGCATGTTGCATGTATATGCATTTATATTTTTGTGGGATTGCACTATGGAGGAGAATGGTGATGTTTCTCTCCGCCCTTCGCACATCTCCTAATCGCAACCTGACCATAGAGCCACCATCCCAAGCCCAGCTCTCTTCTGATCCTTCACCATGACCTCCGGTGTTTGGAATGGCTGTGTTAGCATCACCAGGCTGAGAGAGGTGAAGGAAGTGTTAAAATGATGTAAGACTGGGATATTTTCCCCCAGTGGAATAAAGGAATGGGGCACAGTTGAAACAGACCACAATAACCATAAGAGTAGAGTGGTTTGACTGACAAGCCACAGAGCAGCAGCTCCACACAACTGTTTTTGTTCTCTCATAGCAGAGTAGCCAAGTTTATCAGTCACACCAACGTCCCCATGAACTAAGCTGCGTATCTTGTGTATTTCCTTGGTCCCAGGACAGAGCTTCAGACATTTTTTAACAGGCAAAAGATGCCGCATAATGCTTTTGGAGGAATAAAAACTTTTCACATGGAACTTCCTGCACTCCATTTCTGATGTTCTTCCATGCATTTAACCGGTACAAAAACACCTTGAAGAAAAAGTAGGGTTAAAAGGAAGTGTAGGAGATGCAGCGTGTTAACTGGCAAGGTCCTCTATGGGTAAAGGCAGAGCAGCATGACTGGCGAGGCCCTCTATGGCAAAAGGCAGAGCAGCATGAACACCCGATCCAACATTCTCACACATAAACCGGCTCACACCCTTCCCCTTGCTCTTCCTCCTCATGAATCTCTTCCTCCTCCAGCTCAGGTTTCAGCGTATCAGCCCCACTACTGCTGGGCAGGTCTTGCGCTGCCTCGGGGGGCTTGGGATAACGGAATGGGCAGCCATTATCATCAAAAAACCTTCGGAAGGTGAACTCGTAGAAGGCATGCTCAGGGTGTTTGCCGTGAGGAGAACAGAGGGTGTCCCAAGTGCGGGTGCTGTCTCCACTGTCACTCCAGGCCCCTGGACCCCCCTCCTCTTCCACAGGGTCAAAGTTGGATGTATCCATGGGGTGGGCAATCTTCGGTCTGTATGGAGCAGGTTGTGTGCGAAGATTGCTGGAGAAATCCATCTCGGCAAAGAATGGGTGAGCTTTTATCTCTCCAGCCCCGTTGCCTCCTAGACGCTCTTCAGCTGAGCAGCAGAGTCGACCAATGATGTCAACTGCCTCTGGGCTCAGTTTTACTTGTGGAGGCACCTGCAGAGTATTCTCCCAGTTTATGACCTGTGGAGGTGATGACAACAACGTTATTCCTATTTTCTCAATTCCATATATCCCAAACATGTATAACTTCACCAAAGACAACCTGTCCACTTCAACCATATAAGCAAAGGAACCTGTGGAGGTGACATCAACGTTATAGCAGTGCCTCTTCCCTATTGTCACAATTCCATAAAACCCAAACAGTTATAACTCCACCAAAGACAACATGTCTTGTCTGCTTACATCAGGGGTGTCCAATCTTTCTCCTGGAGGGCCACTATCCTGCAGAGTTTAGCTCCAACCCTAATTAAACACATAAACCAACTAATCAAGGTCTTCAGGATTACTAGAAACTTTCAGCTAAGTGTGTTAGGGCAGGTTAGAACTAAACTTTGCAGGACATTGGCCTTTCAGGAGCAGGATTGGACACACTAGTTTACATCAACCCTATAAGAAAAGAAACCTAAGAAATGCATACAGAGCTCATACCTTAAGCTGTGTCTCCGTTGGGGTTGGAGCAAGAAAGGGTGGCTGGCCAACCAGCATCTCAAACAGGATTACTCCAACACTCCACCAGTCACACAGCTGTGTGTATCCTGCGCATCAAAAAGTATTACACTTAACAGGAGAAGAGATCTATGAACACTGGCACTTCCTAGTGAATACCTTGTACTTCCAGGGTGGTTTTGTGCAAGGTCATACCTTTGCGCAGAAGCACCTCAGGGGCGATGTAGTTAGGAGTGCCCACTAGAGAGTGTGCCAGGCAACGCTGGTGTTGTCGAGTTGCCCGCTGTTCCAAAGTCATCAGCCGATCACCACAACGGCAGTTAGACACATCATCCCAAAAGTCACTCGGCTCCATACTATCTTGCCGGATATGGTTCCCTTTTCAAGCAGGGCAGAGAGAAAAAGTAAAGACAACCAATTAGTTTGATTTGATAAACACTGCAACAGTATTTAGGTCACTTTCAAACAGTTTGAAGCTATGAGTAACGCCTTTTCTTCATGTCTCTTACCTTTTTGGTAATACTTTGAGTTGTGAGTCCAACGGAACCCAGTACACAGACCAAAATCAGTCAGTTTGATGTGTCCGTCCAGGTCAATGAGGATGTTGTCCGGCTTGATATCTCTGTGGATGAAGCCCATCTTATGCACACTTTCTATGGCCAGCGTTAGTTCTGCCACATAGAACCTGGCTAAGGGCTCTGGAAAAACCCCCATACGGATCAGCAAGCTCATCATATCTCCTCCAGGAATGTAATCCATGACAAAGTACAGGCTGTCTCTGTCCTGAAATGAGTAGTACAACCTGACTACCCACTCATTGTCAGCCTCTGCCAAGATGTCTCGTTCTGCTTTCACATGGGCTACTTGGTTTCGGTTCAGAACATCTTTCTTTCGTAGAGTCTTCATGGCATACAGAGCCCCCGTGTCCACTTTGCGTGTAAGACACACCTCACCAAAGGCCCCAATGCCGAGTGTCTTGATTTTGACAAACATCGATTTGTCCATCTTGGCACGTCGTAGTCGGTTGTAATTGGATTCCTTCTGGTAAAGCATCTTTCTCATCTGTTCCTGCTCTGCCTCTGAAAGGCCAGCCTGGAGGAGTGGAAGAGATAAAAGAGGGTGGCTTGATTTAATAATAACGTTTAGACTCGATTTTGAACACTCAATAAAAAATAATTAACGCAACAATTGTCTGAAATGCCAATCGTTGAACAGTGTATTTTTTGGTTCTAGCAATGTTCTATCACTTGTTACCTTAGACATTTCTTGCTCCAGCTGCATCCTGCGGTTGAGTTTCTGCTGATAGGTCTTCATCACATTCTCCACATGCTGCTCCATGTAGAACTTAAAGGCAAAGGGAGAGTAACTCTTAATGCGCGACTCCCGCTTCTCTTCATCACGGGCATTCTTACGCACAGGCACAGGTGAAGTTTGAATCTGCTTCTTATCCTTCAAGGCCTTCTCTCCTTTGCCTGTCTTCACTTTGTCTTTGGAGGCAGGTTCCTCTTGCTTTCCTGCTGAGGCACTCTGGACAGTTCTACTTGTAGCATTGACATCTTGAAGTCCACCCATGGCTCCAGTCTCCAGGGATGCAGGCTCAGTTCCAGGTCCAGATCCAGGCAGGAGCAGTGTTTTGGGGTAGGGTGGAGGTGGACAGCGGTGTTCTTGATTGGGCTCCAAGGTAAAAGTGTCATCTGGCATGTATCCATGAGATTCTGGTGCTTCCTGGGCTTGGGCACTCAGCCAGCCTGGATGACATGGTCCCACTGCTGTTTTTGGCTCAGGCCTCATGACCCTTATACTCTTTACAGGTGGCTGGATTGGTGGAGAGGTCACTGCAGTTATTGTGTTAGGCAGACCCAAAGATGCATCCTGCTTGCCAGCAACACTAGCTGCAGGAGGCAGTGCCTGCCTCACGGTCACCTTCTGGTGGTTGTTAAAAGAATTGGTCCTACTAGGGACACGTACCTCCCCTCGAAAGGGCCCCTGTGGTTGCCTGGCTGGAGGAGTCCCTTCAGGACCTTGGGCTCCTGGCCAGTGATGCTCATAGAGGTCGAGGTTCAGACTGGCCCTGGAAGGAGTGAGGAGGCCTTGAGGAACATCAGAAAACTCACCACCCATAGCTCCAGGGGCAACACCAGGGGAGCGCTGCATCATGTGAACCTGGTGTGAGGTGGGACTGGCTTGGCGTGGGTGCGAATGTGGTGGAAGATATAAGTTAGGAGGATAGCCACCAGCGTTTTGGCCCATTGCTCCTTTGCCTGGCATATTAACATAGTTTTCGGATGTTAGTGGGGTCATCTTATTTTGGAAAGAAGCACTTCGTTTTACCCCGTAGCTGGAGGCTTCTATCATATGAGGCCTGTAGTCATAATGAGTGCCAGGACCTCCCGAGGGCTGAGGCTGGATTTGCATGGGTGGTCCAGGCACACTGTAGCCCATCATGGCCTGATCTATCCCACCAGAGTATCCTTTCTGCTGGGCTGGACCAGGGGTGTACATAGGGTTCCCAGGGTTATTTTGGGGAGCCATGCTTGTGGAGTAGGCACCCATACTTGCGGGACGACCCATTGGGTTTCCCATGGTAGGACCCTGTGAAGTGTTGGCAGGTGGTGGCATGTAGTTAATGACAGGTGGTCCACCCATGTATGCACGAGGAATCTCACCCTCAGCCCCATAACCAGCTCCCTCATACAGTGGTGTTCCCATTTGGTGATAAGGTGGCATTGCACCATCCCCAGTGCCCTCCATTGCCGCCCTGTGGTCCATTAAATTTGGCATGACAGTTTTTCCTGTAAGGAATAAAAAAAAGGGTCACTTTGATTTTAAAGGCAGTGCATCATTCATAAAATGAATATAGTAATACGTTTCTAAAGTGTGAACACACCTGGGGAAGTCTGTTTGATGACACGTACAATCTGTTCATTGTGAGGGTCCAGGTAACCCATTTTGCTAATGTATTCCAATGCTGCCTCAATGTTACGGCTGCCAGTCTGTTTTAGGGCACGGACTGCCATTTCCTGTTTCAGAAATTCAAGCACAGAACTATCAGAACAAGCAATGCATGCATTTTTTGGTTTTCACAATGCATTTCCTTCCATTATACACAAATGAGGCACAGCTTCTACACTCATAGGTTTTTAAATAGATGCATGAGATTCGATACTACTTAGAACTTTTAAAGATTTAGCTTTTAGCACTCTTTGTTATAACCACAGAGATCAATTTGAATTAAATCACTATGTGAAGCAAAGCAAGGTTGCTGAGGCCATTACTGCCACTAGATTCCCACAAATATCCCCACATCAGATGTAGGACAAGCAGCAAGGTCATATTTTTTTTTATTTAAAATCTGCTACTTGCAGAGAAATTCATGACTGGAGAGCCAATATTCTATATAAAAAAAAAAAAAAAAAATGTATTTTACTTTCAGGCAAAGTCAGACTTCCTTCATGTAATAGGCAATGCTCTAGTTTAAATTAGTTTACATTCTTGAGCAAAAGGAATGCTTGACAAACATTTTCATCAAAATTGTTATCATACAGTTTTGGAATTTGTATTGGTTATGGAAAATGATCTTCATGCACCTCAGTTATTTAGATAAACACATATGTACACATGAACCTGCATGTAAATATAAATCATCCCATACATACACACACAGCAGATAATTGTTAAAATAACATTCCCTGCAGCTGCTTCCTCTGCAAGTTAGCACAAGGTCCTTCCTGTGCCAGCCCACAAGTGCACTTTGACCAGAGCTTTGCACATTTGACCACACATTGCACTGTTAGACCCTTGAAATGATTCATAGATTTGATGGTAATACTTATGTCACATTAATTTAAATTTTTAAATTGTCTTAATTTTTATAATTATACTAAATTCAAAGCAATAAAAATCCCCTTGAATGGCATATGACCTCATTCAGAAGACATTCTGCCCTAACCAAATTCTACAGCAAGCTGTGTTTCACTGCTTCTGGTGGTCAAACATTATAATACTGCACCAAGCATGCCATGGAAAACGAAAAAAAAAAAAGAAAGAGAAGAATAAGTGCCTAATTCAGCACATACTTCTGTTTATATCCTCTATGCATTCAAAGAACTGCAAGTAGATAAATATTATGAAACTATGACAAAGTTAGAGTGATAAAGACTATTTCAGAGTTTAGGTTAGATGGTGCTGACAGAGAAAAAAATTGAGTAAAAATCAATGGGTGTAAACAAGCAGCTATATAAACCGTGGACACACTCAGTACGCAGTGCCACATCCACACGCATTCTACACATTCCCCGAGCAGTTTCGATTTCTCTGTGTATTGCCATCTGAATTGTCTAAATGCTTATTTACACAGTCGGTACTGTACAAAACACACAGGAAATACTCCAAACACACGCTGTTTGTCTGTGATCGCTGCTCTCAGAAGTGCCATGGCTTTTTGTTGCATTCCATCACTGTCTGCTCCAAGGGTGTGTGCCTTCTCGTCCCCCTTGGTGATTTAAAGGCGCCACTCTCTCTTTCCCTCTTTAAAACACACACACAACAATCCAACATGAACTTGAGTTTGGTTACGGGAAGGGCTGGGTCTGGTTTGGCCCCTGGTCAGAGTTTCAGCCCTGACCTCCACTGTCATGGCGACAGATGTTCAGGACATTCCACGAGCCAAGAAGCAAGAATTCCAGCTATGTGGAAATCTATGCTTAAATCTCGTTTTAAATTGTCCCTCCTCCTCTCTTTATTTTTGCTATCATTCTGTTCCAATGTGCCTTAAGCGTTTATTTGGTTGGTCCCAAAATATCTTGTTTGTATTTACATCCTTGTCATGACCACAAGCCTCAATGCTACACTAGACATTCAATTTCTGACTGTGGCGTCGGTAAGCACCCACACAAAAACACATTTATTTCTCTTTTTTCCCCCCAAACTTAGTTTAAAAAGTAAACCATATATATTCTTCTTGAATAAAGTAACAACTATATTCCATCTCTATTCATTTTTAAGAGCTTCCACTTTGACCTAAATTCTCAAACACATTCCACCATTGAACATGGTAATGAGAGCCATATGGAGAACTCTGATATACAGGAACGGATGGGCATCTTCATCAGTGGATGGAGAGGTGGAACATAATCCATAATGTAGTAAAATAGCTCAAACAGCAGCTAAAGCAGCCAAGCATAGCACTAGCAAGCCAAGGTCATGGGTTCAAATTCTTGGCTATACATGAACTGATAAAATACACTACCACTCAAAAGGCTGCATTTATTGGATCAAAAATACTGTAAAACAGTAATATTGTTAAATATTTAAATAACTTTTCATTTTTGATTTTTTAATGCATTCCTGTGATGACAAAGCAGAATTTAAAGCGAACATTACTCTAGACTTCACATGAAATTATTCTAATACACAACAGTTGTGCTGCTCAATATTTTTGTAGAAATCATGATACATTTTTCAGGATTAGGACCCTAAACTTCTGCACATTGTATGCAAAGAAAGCTGCTTTGGGTAAAAGCTTGTGCCAAATGCATAAATGTATGTGTCCTTCAGGATTGCTTCCTATGAACCAGGTGCAGTATCTCCATAAATACAACTTCAAGAAAACCTACAAAGTCAACATGAAGTCAAAATTGGCTCCATTTTCTTTCTTAATGCACACTGTTCCTGCTCTTAGTGTGAATGTTTTATTGGTGTATAATATGTAAAGATTTTTATTTTATTTTTTTGAAGTCTTTGTAATATTTGTATATACAATAACTTTCTCTGCTCTTCTTTTTGGATGACATCCCCAATCCCTCTTACTTTTCAGCCCCTTCCCACCAACCACTGATACATGTTGCCCACTTTAGTGATCTAATCAATTGCTGAAGAGAAAAATCAAGCCCCGTCCTACATTAGTTCTTGTTAAAGGGGTCATATGATGCGATTTCAATTTTTCCTTTCTCTTTGGAGTGTTACAAGCTCTTGGTGCATAAAGAAGATCTGTAGTTGCTGCAAGCCCGCCGGACGCTCCTTCGTTGAATCCGCCGGCCACGCCATTCTCAAGCGCACCCGCCTCCACTCACTCAGCCGGCCAGTCGTTCCTCACTCTAGCCCCCTGCCACCGCTCACTCTAGGCCACCGCCGCTCACTCTAGCCCGCCGTGTGTGACACTGTGTTTCGGTGTGAAAGCGAAACTACTTTGTTGGGCCTTCCAAAAGAGGACGATATCATGCCTAGAGCTGATCCGTGCTGGTCGCTGAGGAAAAACATCAACTTTGCGCTGTGGATCGCCGGATCGGCTTTCAC